CCCCGCCTCCCCGCCCTCCGGATCTCGGCTGGTGCTGCACGGAAAAACCTGGTGGGCAAAGCTGGGTCAAATACAGTATAATACTAGTAATAATAACATAATATTATAATTATCTATTTACATTACATGTAATATTACTAATAATATTGCAATATAATGGTATAGTGCAACATAGTAATATATAATACTGATATTGTACTATGCTAATAATATAATATATTGTATGAAAATATATCTTGTAAGCCGCTCTGAGTCCCCTTCGAGGTGAGAAGGATGCCAAAGAAATGCCGTAAATAAATAAATAAATAAATAAATAAATACAACAGCCAGAAGAGTGATCTTGTTTGCTGTGGACACATCTTGTTGTGTTAAAATAATAATAATAATAATAATAATAATAATAATAATAATAATAATGGAGACATTATTTTCAAAGGATTTCAGATTGCAATTCCACATCGTCATCATCGTTATTATTATTATTATTATTATTATATTTATTTATTAATACCCTTTATTATCTCCCATGAAGAGGACTCAAAGTGGCTTAACAAAAGCATCAGCATAACAATTTAAATATACAAATATGCGAACATTAAAACAGGATTAAATATAAACAATATTTTTTAAATTCCCAGTTAAAAACCAGTAAAACAAATTTGAAGTTAAAAACCATAATACTTCTTGAATTGATCTTAAAACTCGATAAATAAGCTTATCAGGATTCAACGGTGGAGAGGTATATGAATGTGTGGTCATTCCCTCGGCTGTGGAACGCCCTTCCCACGGACATTAGATCAGCCCCTTCGCTAATCGTGTTTCGAAGGAAACTAAAAACCTGGCTGTTTGAACAGGCGTTCAGATAAATAGTGCAATTGAATGATGAATATAGGAACGGATTTATGGATGACGAATTGGATCACGATTTTAGTTACGAGATGCTAATGTGTTGTTATTGATGTGTCATTATTTGTATACTAGGCTGTTAATGGTTTTAAATATTGTATGTTGTACGATTGACTTTTTTGCTCTTGTTGTGAACCGCGTTGAGTTGCCTACGGGCTGAGAAACTGCGGTATACAAGCAAAGTAAAATAAATAAATAAATAAATAAATTCCTCTGTAATACATCTTCATTCCCTTTTGTCATACACTAGGGATGGGGAACATGGTTGAACTGACGCTCTCATCATCCTTCTTTCCTCTCTGGCCACGCTAATTAGGGATGATGGGAGTTGCAGTCTGAGCACATCCTCTGGAGCCAAACACCTCTCTCCAAAAGCATTTCCCATCCATATTGCACGCCCATCCTCCTAAAAACCAGAAAAAACCCAGAAAATACCTGAATGTTAAGATGTGTCACCGTTTCTTGAGGTAGCGGCTTATACAAAGAACCTGGAAGATAAAAGAGGATTCACACTGCATTGGACTATATGGCAGTGTAGACTCATAAGATCCAGTTCAGTGCAGTTAAACCGCATTATATGGCACTGTAGATCCAGCCCTTGGGGAACTACAGCTCTCAAGACTCCATGCTGTAGTAGTTCCGGATCAATTAAAATACTAACAATCAATTAATAAAATTAATACATTAAATAAAATAAAATAAATAAAAATCAATTAATAAAGTTAATAAAACACTGACTCATAAAATACTAGCAATCCATTAATAAAATACAAATTAATTAATAAAGTTAATAAAACCCTAACTCATAAAATGCTAACAATCAATTAATAAAATAAATAAATAAAATAAATAAAAATATTAATTAATAAAGTTAATAAAACCCTAACTCATAAAACACTAACAATCAATTAATAAAATAAATAAAATAGTATAAAATAAATAAAAATATTAATTAATAAAGATAATAAAACACTAACTCATATAATGCTAACAAACAATTAAAAATAAAATAAAATAAATAAGAAATTTAATTAATAAAGTTAATAAAACACTAACTCATAAAATGCTGACAATCAATTAATAAAATTAACACATAAAATAAAAAAATAATTAATAAAGTTAATAAAACACTAACTCATAAAATACTAACAATCAATTACTAAAATTAATAAATTAAATTAAAGAAATAAGAAATTTAATTAATAAAGTTAATAAAACACTAACTCATAAAATACTAACAATTAATAAAATTAATACATTAAATAAAATAAAATAAATAAAATAATTAATAAAGTTAATAAAACACTAACTCATATAATGCTAATAATCAATTAATAAAATTAATACATAAAATAAAAAAATTAATAAAGTTAATAAAACACTAACTCATATAATGCTATCAATTAATAAAATACATAAAATTAAATTAAATTAATAAAAAATAATTAATAAAGTTAATAAAACACTAACTAAAATGCTAACAATCAATTAATAAAATTAATACATAAAATAAAATAAAAATTAATAAAGTTAATAAAACACTAACTCATAAAATGCTAACAATCAATTAATAAAATTAATAAATAAAATAAAATTAATAAAAATTAATTAATAAAGTTAATAAAACACTCAAAATGCTAACAATCAATTAATAAAATTAATAAAAAATTAATTAATCAAGTTAATGAAACACTAACTCATAAAATACTAACAATTAATTAAAATACTCATGTACCACAAAACAAGCATGAAAGCGAGGCAGATCCACTTACTCTCCATGTGGACGGACAAAGCGAAATGGAAGCGGAGCAACAATCAGGAGGAACAACACAGAGCTTCCGGGTCTCCCACGCGGATGAAATGCGCATGCGCTCTTGCCGTTCTCCGATAGGCCCAAAGTAGAAGAGAAGCGGCCAATTAGAGCAATAGGTCGCACGCAGCACCATAGAGGTACGAAATGAGAAAGGAGAGAGGGATGAGATAGACGAGAGGGTCTTTTCTCCACGCATGCGCACATATGCCTTCCAGGCTAAAAGGGGAGAGAAAACTGTTCCAACACTGCAAGGCTGTTGTTAAATAAATCTCAACCATAATCTCCCACCGTTCAGATTGTAATATAATAATATTATTCTGTTATTATGCTATTCTAATACTATAATATTATTGTATTATTATGCTATTCTAACACTATAATATTATTGTATT